TAAAACTGTTACAGCTTAGGCTGCAGGACTAACGGACGGCTCAAATAATTTGTGAAAAGTGAAAATCTGGAGCAAATATTGCCAACTGTACTTCTGCATTAAAAAAACCATACACTAGCCAGTATATAAGAGCCTCATGAACCAGTAAACACTCATCTTACTGGGTTAGCAGACACAGAATCACAAAAGGAGACAATGGGAGACGTGAAACGCATCCACAGCACGAGTGATCTGCACCGACTGACTCGTTTCAAAATCTACCCCCAAGTTTTTGTAAGGATGTGAATCTTACACCACAACAGATTCACGGAGTGAGATGTTTGCTGTTATTTTCAATGCAGGAGAAAATAAGGGGGAAAAACTAACAGTAACTATAATAATTATGAAAGAAAGGAGTTGCACATATTAATCGCTTTGCCAGCATGTTTAAGGAAAGAGAGCATCCTTACCCTCAGAGTGCTAAACCAATGCGCCGCATTTGTCTTCAGCGGTCCGAGGTACCAATATCTGTCGGGAAATGTTATGGTTAATCATTCTTATATGTGAAGAATCGTTGTCTTCCTCGTCTAGTTACAGTCTTGAGTAATCTTACTTGCTGATTTTTGAAGCCACATCTCTAAAAGCCCCCCAACGCAGTCCCATCAGAGCAAAGACTGGCTGCTCTTTCTCTCCCTGGGAAAACAAGCACATACACTTCAAAGTCAAACTCCTGTCCAAGTGTTAAACCAGTGCAGTTTCTCCCTGTAGACATGTCACCTCGTTCTCACATTCACAAACGTGGGTACTGACAGCAATACTCCATCAGTCTTTTACAGCTGAGGGCTAAAAACTACATTTGAACATGTCTCATGTTTAAACTTTTATAGCACTGAGAATAGTTTCAGTGCATCATTAAATATCAAGGATAACAAAATGTATATGTAATTTTTTTTAAATTATGCATTCAGCTTTGTATTTACTTCCTCATTTAGCTAGTTGTCAATTTATTTATTTATTTTTATTGTATTTTATTTGTTACTTTATATTCTAAGAGTCAAACACTGTCAGTTTGACTGAGTGTAGAATCAGAGAACCACACATCTCTACTTGTAATTACAGAAACAGTCGCTAACTTGCCATTGCATACTTTATTTACTTTATTGGGGCGGCCATTATTGACCATTTACAGGAAAAGGGATGGGTATATGATTCTCTCTACCTCATATTTTCTACCTGGGATTTGGCGTCGTGGGTCGAGCTGCTTAAACTCATGTTTTTCCACCATGTAACCACGCCAGTAATTTCCATCCACTGTTTGCTCATCCTATCATATGGCAGCGGTATGCAGTTGTGTCATCTGTTTACTTTTGGGTAGCACATCACCAGCTGCGAGTCTCTCCTCCTTCTTGACCTGGTTATACTCCAGAGTTTCTTTGTTTGTTTTGATCTGTGCTTTTTCAGAGGTTGTTGAAGTAGCTCCTTCTTTACTGAACCCTAATTGAAAACTGAAATTCAGCGCTTGCTGTCAGATATGTCTGGCTTGTCTTTCAGTTGTGTGCGCTAGGAAACATAAACAGGTGTCACTGAGATGGGACAGAAACTGCAATATGACACTTTTATATCATGGAAAAATGTATATTATTGCAGATGATATGATACGGCACAGCCGGAGTGCCAAGGATTCTGAAGTCTCTGGGAAGAACTTTTTTTAATTACTACACACCTTGGACATGAAATAATTTGCACGGAGACCTGAATTTAAATTTTCTTATTTCTTCTGCTGAATTTAAACTCATCAACATGGCAAAAGAGAATATTAAATATTAAGAAAAAATTAAAAATAATAGTTTATGTTTACGTTTAGACCAACGTGTATTCAAAATATGAAAAGAAAGTCAATGTTTGAGTGGTACAAAAGGAGAATAACAGAAAATCATCAAAATAAATCAAAGTATATATTTTTTAAACTTGAAAAATAAAAAGGAATACTCACAAAAACTGATAAAACTCATTTATTTTTTTCTTGTAATTTTCTTTTATTATAATAAATATTCATATATGTTTTTAAAAATATATTTTACCTGATGGCTTTTAAAATAAATATTAAATAACTTTGGAAAATGTGCTTTATGAATCCGGTTTACCGGCTTACTGTTAAAAACAGCAAGATGTTTTTAAATAAGTACAGACATTCGTTTGTAACTTTAAGGCCATGTAGAGCAATATATAAGCAGTTTCTCACTTTGATTTGGAGCACATCCAGCGGTACAGTTTCTCCCTTCAGTATCGACAGTGCCGCTGATGTGATGTCCCTGGAAAATGAATGACATTAAAAACATTCTAATTAATGGAAGAAATCAGGAATTCTGTACTATAGATTTACTGAGTGACATGATAACAACCCAGTGAAGTTTGTCGTGGGAATATGTAATGATCATTTTGTGTGTGATGCTGAAACATTACTTACTTGACCTTGTTGTCACTGAGGAGATGAAGACTTGGACTGAGGGAATTATGGGAGCCTAGTGGAATGAATCCAATTGGTGTCTTACTGAAGACGTCCTGTGGTCAGAAAACATCCACCAAAAGAAAGATTTAATTACTTAAAGTATCAGACTGAATATAGTTATTACAGACAACTGATGTCAGATTAACACAGCTACTATATTACATTACACCTACTTGGTCTGGCCTTCTCAGTAAACCTGTGATCACTTCCTGTAACGTGCCATCTCCTCCAGCCACGATCAGCATGTCTGTTTCTTCCATTAACTCGATCAGTTTTTTAGCCTGACCTTCATAGTCTGTCTGTAGAGGGATGTGTAATATCTAGATGTGATGTCATGCTCTGTGACACTCTCAGAGACACTATTACCTGATAAATATCCAATTGAAATAGAAAACAATACCTTGACTACTGTAATCTGCACACCAGCCAGGTGTAAAATAGGAGCAGCATTCTTTTCGAATAGGTTGTTGGCTTTCCTGGAGAAAATTAACACAGGAAGCTGTAAATATTCTGAGAAAAATTAAACAAGACTCTCAGAGAGACGTCGGGAGATTATGCGTCTTACCCGTTGCAAGCTGCAGGGTTCAAAATCACAGTTGCTTTCCTGAGTCGCTCCTGTGGTGCTATCTGCTGCTGTCCATATTCCTAACACAAATGATGACGTTAAGGATAACTGTCACAAAGAGGAAACTTGTGTTTTGGGGTAATAATTTAGTGACATCTTACCCTGGCTAATAGACACGCCTCTCTGCGCAGGACGCTGTCACTGATGAGATATTATACACAACATTTAGGACGCGAAAACGGGAATTTGTGCACTCTGTCTCATTCATAGCATGAAATACCCACCAGTGTTTTCCATACAGCCAGTATCCACCGTAGGACAAGACACATACAGCAAATGTGCTTTTCTTCCAATGATTTCGCAAAGTCCGAAACACTTTCACGACTCGAGCCATGACTGTGATTAAACTGTTTTCAAAACCTCAATTTTAGCGCCGTGGTACAGATCATTAAACGTCATAAACGACACATTTTCATCACAGCGGTCACAGACTCACAGATTTAAGACTAGCATGGGCATTTTAGTGTACCGTCAAAACAGTCGGAAGCAAAACAAGAGCCTCAAACTCATGGTTCCGCTTGTGTTTTGATTTTTTTCGGAACTATTTCTAGTTGCACATTTTTCAAGTATTGCTTTATGTAAGTCTCCTAAAAATATTTTATTTTTTAATTCTTTTTTAAGTTTACAGATTGTAGATTTAATTAAATGCCTTAAACGCTTTAACTTACAAGAACTACAATTCCCATAATTGCTAATGAGGACGGGGCCATCATTCGGAGGACCCCGCCTGAAAAGAGCCCACATAGTCATGAAATCTTCTAAGATATTTAATCTACTCAACTAACCAGCGAGGACATTAAATTAGGACTGATAGATTCGTTGTTCACTAAAAGTGACCAAAGCATTACAGAAGTTGTCGTTTTAAATTTCACACCGGCACAAACCCAGAAGCTTCTGTCCAACTTAGTGAGCGTATCATGGCGGCGCAGATGGCGGTAAATTCGGGTAAGGGTGTATATTTTATTAAATAATTGGATTTTGTTTTATTATTGCATCAAATCTCAACCTCTGTTATGCACTGAAGCGCAGATATATGCGCTTCTTGGCCGCATATTTGTCGTTTATGATATGTTTTGACCACATGTTGTTGGGTCTGTCAGGCTAACATAGCTTAGCCTTGCCCATAGCAAATAGACGTTAAGTTAGCTGAGGTTAAATAACAAATTAGTTTTACTCATTTACACCGAACTAATTCCCACACTCAACCTGAAATAGCAGGGAGGGATGACACGATTTGTCTGATAGATCAGCCGACCGGCTTGAAATAAAAGTGAAACTAACAACTCGGGGGAGGCAAAGAAGTGTCTGTACTATACTTCTGGAATCTTTTATAGTGTCTGTAGGATAGGCAAAATGCCGCAGTGGTGTTAACAAGCATGGTTATAGCAAATTAACTCGAAATGACTAGAAATTAGTTGTTTGCATACTTGTGTGACGACCCAAAACATCTGAAGCGTATTTACTCCGTCAGGAGCCAGTCTGTGGGGGCCACTGAAAGAGCTCTGGGAGACAGTGGACGGAGCTGTGTTAAGGAGACAGCCCGAGAGTGTTCACCTCCTAGACCTACAGCTGAAGAAACACAAACCTCACTTCCTGTCACTTTTTAAGAACCCGGTAAGATGGCATGAATAGGTCATTTAAAACACTGTCATTTCTCACACATGCAGGTCACGGGTGTTTTTTTCCCCCAATGTGTAGCTTGTAGTTACAGTCTGTCCTCCGAGACTCTGATGTTAACAGCGTCTTGTCTTCTCTTCATTTTTAGCCAAAAAGTGCAGAGCAAAGAGAGAAAGTGCGTAAAGCCAGCACAGAAGGCATCGCCATCCAAGGTCAGCAGGGGTCACGGCTCCTTCCAGAACAGCTTTTGACAGAGGCTTTCATCCTCAGTGATCTCTTTGACATCGGAGAGTTGGCAGCTTTGGAGCTTCTCTTGGCAGGTAACATGAAGGGAAAAAACCCCCAACTTTATCCAGCATAGATTTCATCTTATAGGTAAAGTGTCACTGTAGTTAATTGTGTAGCAGGTTCCAGAGTCAGAACCAGACACGGAGAAGCTGCATTCAGCTTTTATGCTCCTTATATCTGGAACAAACTCCCAGAAAGCCTCAGATCAGCTGAAACACTCAGTTTATTTAAATCCAGGTTGAAGACTCACCTGTTCTCAGCTGCATTTAAATAAAGCACCAAATCTGCACTTAAGCTTAAATTTCAAAACTTACATTTTAACTACTGATTTTATCTGTTTTGATTTTTGATGTTGTATACTGTTTTGTTTGTTTGTCTGTTTATTAGTTAGTTAGTTTGCTTGTTTTAATCTATTTAAAATCTTTTTTTTTTGTTTCTAATATATCTATAAAGCACTTTGAATCACCTTGCTGTTGAATTGTGCTATACAAATAAACTTGCCTTGCCTAGTGTATGGATTGTCCTGATCAAGCACTGAGATTGAGCTCTGTTTCTTTTCTGTAATCATCTCTCTCCAGGTGAACAGCAGCAGCCCTATTTTCCAGGACTGACACGAGGCCTGGTGGCCGTGTTACTTTACTGGGATGGAAAACTTTGTATGGCCAACTCTCTGCGCACACTCATTCAGTCACGACAGGGCAAGACCTTCACCCTGGATCTTAGGTAATAATGGTGTCTAAAAGTAGTACAATGAAACATTGATAAATGCTGTTAAAGTCTCGTATGATGAAGGTGTTTTTGTCCTGCTTGTATTTTTTGGTAACCATTGCCCTTCATGTAAATATGTAAAAATTGTGTGTGTTTCTGTTCTGTGTCTTGTGTACTGTTTGTTTGTATATGTGTCTTTCTGGCTGCTGTTACATCCAAATTTCCTCTTGTGGGACAATTAAAGGATTATTCTATTCTATTCTATTCTATTCTATTCTATTCTATTTGAATCTTATGTCATTTGTTTTCTCCTTCAGTGGAGAGCTGGTGGCTTTGACAACACGATTTACAGATGAGCTCATGAGCCAAGGTCTGAGCAAACGCATCCTAACTTTGGTGTCAGAGATAAGCGTGACGCGTGAGTTTGAGCGACTGCAGAAAGAACGCGGATTGGGCAACGAAAAGCACAGGAAGGAGGTGTGAAGTAATCTTTTGTATAAATTTTAACCAAAGATATAAATCTTCAAATTGCTTTGTTTTGTTTTTCCAGTGTTAAAGGAACAATACAGCCACTAATTCTCTCAACATAGAAACATCGAGTGTAGGAATGCAGAGTGGATTATGGAAAATATGGATTACATGTAGTTTCTGCATCTGTCACCAGGTTGCAGACCTCATCAAGGAATGCCGACAGGCGCTTGCAGACAGCCTGTTTTCATGGACCTGCCAATCGCCCCTGTCAAAAGATGACACTCTGGCACTCATTGGCCACCTGGAGACAGTTACAGCTCAGGCTGATGGCTCACTGGACAGTGTTAGCCTGGCTCTGGTTATGGCACTGCTCTACTGCTTGGATGTCAGTTTTATCGAGCAGGGGACTGAAGATAGAGATGGTAAGTTCGTGTTGATGGTTTTGGTTTTCTTTCTTTTTTTCCTGTTGAAATCACTGATTCCAAAAATCATCTGCCTGCACGTGTTTTCCTCCAGATTTGCTCCAGGCGCTTCCATTGCTGACAGAAAGGCAGTATGTGTCTGCAGTGCACAGTCGCCTGATGGACAGCCAACCATGGAAGCTTCCGGGGCTGCAGGCCGTGTGTCGACTGGCGTGGGCTCTGTTGCTGAGAGTCCTTTCCCAGCTGCCACAGGGCTCAGGTAAGTACTGCATTCCTTGAGTCTCCATTAAAATGCCCTTCTAATTCTTACGTTTCTGAGATAACAGCCATTTCATGTTATCGTACATGTGTTTTTGTGCAGCACTGGTTGAGTTCACCGAGGCAGATGAGGCTCTGGCTGATCAGGCTCTCCTGGGCGATGTCTTCTTGTTTATGAAAGAGGGCATTCTGGGATGTGAGAGTTTTTCCCAGGAAGAGTTTTACATCCGCCGCGTCCATTCACTCATCACAGACTTTCTGGCTCTTATGCCAATGAAGGTAAGAGATGCTGCGGGTGCATGCTTTTAACTTAAGACTGACATGTAAAACTATAATATGGTTTTTAACTTATCAGATTCAGCATTCTGTAATTGTCACATTTCATTTATTTATTTATTTTTGCATCTTAATTTAAATATGTAACAAGCGTTTTTTGGCTTTTTGCAGGTGAAGCAGCTTCGTAACCGTGCCGATGAGGATGCCCGCCTCGTGCACATGTCCTTACAGATGGACAGCGAGCTGCCATCGTCATTGCGAAAGGACTTGGACCACCTCATGATCCTGGTTAGCGTTTTTTATTTTTTATTTTTATTTTTTTTAACATATCTATATATTAGGGCTGGGCGATATGGCCTAAAATTCATATCGTGATATAATTTGGAGCATGTGCGGTAACGATATATATCATGATATATTCTTTTCTTCTGTATAACGTATTTTCCACACTATAAGGCACACTTAAAATCCTTTCATTTTCTCAAAAATCGAGAGTGTGCCTTATGTATGAATTCTGGTTGTGCTTACTGACCTCGAACCGATTTTGG